CGAAAGAAAGAAAGAAAAAAAGAAAGAAAGAAGTGAATAATATAACACAAAGAAAGAAAAAAGAAAGAAAGAAAAAGAAAATAATAAAATACAAATAATGAAAAAGAAAGAAAGAAAAAAGAAAATAAGACAACGAAAGAAAGAAATAGAAAATAAAATACAAAAAAAGAAAAAGGAAAGAAAAAGAAAATAATAAAATGAAAAAGAAAGAAAAATGAAAGAAAGAAAAAAGAAAATAATATAATACAAAGAAAGAAAGAAAGAAATTAACTGAGTAAAAAGAAAGGAAAAAACAAGTGGAAGAATGAAGGAATTACCTTCAGCCATGTTAAAAAGAAAAAAAATCACTAGGGTCGACATGGAGTAAAAAAAACCAAAACAAAACATCTACCTGCCTTGTGGCTGAAATATCTACCCACTGCCATCAGTCTACAAACCTTGGCCAAAACCTGCATTTCGTTCGCTGATTTTCCCAACAGACAAAATCACAGACATGAAGATCCTACTCAACTGACGTAATACAATCTTACTTCTTCGATTTCTCTGAAATCCGAAGGTGCACTGGAACAGAAAATAATGTCTTTCAAAAGCTAAGCAAAATATTAAGAAACCAGAAGTTTTCGTTCGAAACAAAGAAAAATTACTGAACTGTCATGTAATATCACTCCTCCATATATGACACTGAATGCTGGACAATCTCCTCACAGATGAAGAAGAGACGTGAAGCAACAGAAATTTAGTTCTACAGAATGATGCTGAGAATAATACCATGAACTGAACATGTGAGCAACGACAAAGTTTTCGAGAGAATGGAAACAAAATGTTCACTTATACTTTGCGTCAGAGAGAGACAGTTGAAATTTCTAGAGCACATAATGAGAAAAACGATTTGAAAAATTTGACACTCAGAGGAAAATGATACTGTTTTCCTGTCTTTGTTGTCTTGAGTATCAAGGTAACAAAAACAGAGGAAAACAGTTTAAATGGTTGGCAGAACAGGGTTTAGGATAGATAGCAACAAGACAAAATTTACTAGGAGCTACATAAGATAGAAAATGGTGGAGAGCCGTGATCGCCAACATCCCGAAGGTACGTAGAAGAAGAAGTGGGTTCTACTCTTACGAGCTTGCCATCATTGTGACCTTATGTTGGACCCACTTAACAATGGAGTAAGTGATTCACACAAAGAAATATAAGAAGGCAAAATCGAATTTAATGTTCATCACAAGATGATCTAAAAAAAAGAGTTGATCTGTGGTGGCAGAAATTGTATTGGATCTACCCTAAGAGAACAAAAATATTTTTTTTACTTAGTCTCACCTCAGCACTTTAAAAGACTTGGGTGCCTCGAGGGTTGACATAGAAGGTGCCTCAAAGCCAACAAGTGGAGAATCGGTTCCCGAAGGATATCGGTGGGTGCCTCAATGTAAACAGGAAGTGAACTCAACTTAACTCATGATAGACACACAGAGAAGGAAACATGATGACCGGAAGTTATATGAATGCCTAACTTGCAAGTAGGAGAAGACAGAGTGTCTTGCATCCTCGCAAGAAGATGATCGAACACTTGAAGAATGACTCAGAATCAGATATCACTCAGTTCGGCCCTGATTAACTGGAGCTTTGGTTGGAGCTTTGGGTCTGATAAAGAAAGGAACTCAAGAAGAAATCCACAAAATCCCTGATGTACCATCTCTCTGGGATCCCCTCAAAATAGTTGTAAAAAACACAGCCATTATCCCGCGAAGAGCTTTGTCCATCTAAGTTTGTTTTTGTTAACAGATATATTTTGTTTAATTAAGTTGCAAAAAACAAAACAAATAAACAAAAAACAAAACAAAAACAAAACATCAAATCATTCGCTTGTAGTAGGTCATTGTTTATGGTGATTAAAAAACAAATAGAAGTCAAAAAGATATTTTTAATAATAATAATAATAATAATAAGTGATAAATATCCAGAAACGATTGATCATCTTGTATCAGGTTGCACGATGTTGGCACCCACTGAATATAAAACCCGACATGACAGAGTGGGCCAATATCTGCACTGGAAAATCTGCAACTTCTACGGGAAGAAAACAAAGAAACTGGTATGAACACCACCCAGACCCGGTTACGGAGATAGGACCTGTTACAATTCTATGGGACTACACAATACACACTGACAGAACAATCAAGGCCAATCGGCCAGATATTGTTATTAAAGACCACAAACAAAAACGGTGCCTCCTTATTGATATGGCAGTCCCTGCTGACTGCAATGTATCTTTGAAGATATTCAAAAAGTTGTCAAAATACAAGGACCTTGAAATAGAAATCTCGAAAATGTGGCATATGGGAACTTCAACAATCCCTGTTGTAGTTGGAGCCCTAGGACTGGTTGGAAAAGATTGCAGTAGACTAAATGAAGGGATTCCTGGAAGTCCATGCCTCAAGGAGATACAAAAAATTGATCTGACAAGTACAGCCCACACTTTACGAAGGGCTTTATCTATGTAATTTTTTTTTGGTCAGTGGAAAGTGTCATGATGCCATTTCTCACCTTAGGTCCCTGGGCGGGACCCGGAAAGAAATGTGTAAACGCCAGAAATCAAAGAAAATAAAAATGATAATAATAATAAAAATAATACATTGGAGATATAGGTTTACATGTGTACATACATGAAATAAACTTTGGAGGAATGTCTGTAAAAAACGAAAATACTTTTCATACACACTAACCTCTAATAATAACCGAACCCAATACATATTTATAATAACCTAACCGAATTCACTGTAATAATAACCTAACACACTCTAATAATGCCCTAACCAAATACAACCTAATAATAACATAAACCAGTAAACACTAATAATAACCTAACCGAATGCAGCATAATAACAACCTAGCCTAATACATTCTCACCTAATAACAATAATAATTCCCTTCTCCAAACTTTAAAATTCAGAGTTTGCCATCTAAGACTAGAGTGCCTAGTCTACCCTCCTATTTCATATCCAGTATGAATACTATTTACGGGATTTAAATGAAAAAACAGGTCGATAGTTACGTTTGTGGGTGTTTAATATTTCTCAAGATCTCATTTCATAGTGTTCTTACATATTTATTCCATTCATGCATTTTTATTAAACTTGAATATATATATATATATATATATATATATATATATATATATATATATATATATATAATGAATAGGAAAACCCACAACTAAAAAAATATTGAAATCAAAAAATACGATACTAAAAGAAAGGAGAGAGAGAAAAAAAGATAAAAAGAGCAAGACTGCGCATGCGTACCTATCGATCACCCGCTCATTTGTATGGTATTGTCTCCGATGTTACATTCGCAGACGAGACCATCAGGTCATACAGAAAAGCAGCCACAAACAGGAACAGTGACTAACATGGTGATACAAGCTATAATAATAAAGACAATTACGAAAAGTAATGCTACCGCATTTTAATAGCAACATCTCTACAAATATATCTGCTTTCAAAACTGACATCTTCAAAAGATACTGTCGCTCCTGATCAGTCACCGACCACTTCTTCAACTTCCATTATTTTCTTTCCAATCTTCATCTATCCCTATACTTTCGCCTGACTTCTGCCACATTTATAACTGCGTCTAGTCAGCTCTGGTCCACAAGCAAAACTAGCCAATAATGATCCTAACTAACTAAGCCCTGTTTCCGATAGCAATTGCATTGACGACCGTGGGCCTGGAATGGTGGTGAAGGAGAAGGAAGTAGAGGAGAAAGAGGAAGAGGAGGAGGAGGTTTGGGTGGAAATTAAAGGGAGATAATCACGCTGTTCTGCGTTGCCTGTAGGTCCTGTTCTAATTGGTCGACGGAAAGAAGAAGAAGAAGAAGAAGAAGAAGAAGAAGAAGAAGAAGAAGAAGAAGAAGAATGAATGAATGAATGAACGAATGAATGAAGAGAAAGAAAGAGAAATTGAAAGAAAAGTGACAGGGAGGAGTGGGGGAAGAGGGAGAGAGAGAGAGAGAGAGATTAAAGCGAACGCAACTCTTGTTTACTTCGTTTGTAATGACTGGGAGAGTCAGTCATCATCCATCATTTGTTTTTCAGTTCATTTAAACTTCAGAATTGGACAAAATGGCGCTCGCCACAGTCAGGTACGTTACAGTGTGATTAGTGGTGTTATTATTGGTTCGTGTTGGATCAACGAGAATTGGGCGAATATAAAGAAACGCATGAGTGGAGTGCAAGGCACAGTGAAAATTTCACTTAAACAAAACAACCGCTACCATTGCCAGAATAAAATCATTTTGTATGACATCTATCGGCGTTTTCTCAAGTTTGATTGACATACAAATCTTTGTTGAATAAGTTTCTCTTTTTCGTCATA